GTGTATACTCCATCAGCTGTTTCAGTTTCTGTCAGCTTTACATTTTTGACTATTTGGCATCATCTTGTGTCTGAATAATGCGCAGGCTAGTATATACTCCATCAGCTGTTTCGGTTTCTGTCAGCTTTACATTTTTGACTGTGTGGCTCCATCTTGTGTCTGAATAATGCGCAGGTTAGTGTATACTCCATCAGCTGTTTTAGTTTCTGCCAGCTTTGTGTTTTTGACTGTGTGGCACCATCTTGTGTCTGAATAATGAGCAGGTTAATGTAAACTCGATCAGCTGTTTCAGTTTCTGTCAGCTTTACATTTTTGACTATTTGGCATCATCTTGTGTCTAAATAATTTACATGTTAGTGTATACTCCATCAGCTGTTTTCGTTTCTTTCAGCTTTGTGTTTAAATAAAGTATTAATAATCTTTCACAGCTTAAAACAATGTTTTCACTTTATTATATTTTTTGGCAAATAGTCATGTAATAAGTAGGATACAGTACATCCAGGATGATTGATTTTACAGAAAAAAAGCCTTTCAGTCTTATTCAACAGTGCTCTGCTTCATGTCAGGCTGCCAATAAACCTGTCGAGCATTATTCTGCTATTCTCAACCTCCTGAATGTACTTATATGATTGTGATACATTGCATCCCCCACTGAAAACAAGACAAATCTAGGTATATGAGGTATATCTCAAGGGGTTAATCTTAATAAAAGAATACAGTATTTACACAAGATGCATACGGCTGCCGCCAGACAGGTGTTAATATTTTAAAATAAGAATTATTTCTTCTTTGTATCTGCTTCACAAAACAAGTGTTAAGTCCCTGGTGACATAGGAGTTGTTTCACGAGGAATATAGGTGCTTTTGAAAATTTGTAATTAAAAGATGCTATCCAAAACCATTATACAGAAGGGATGCTTTATAAAATCATAAACTAATCCAACTGTGTTCGTCTGACAAAAAAAAAAAAAAGTTATATACATCAAGGATGGCTTGAGGTTGAGTACATTATGGGGGAATTTTCGTTTTGGGTGAACTGTTCTTTTAATGAACACATGCAAAGACAATCTCACACTAATGTGACAGACAGACAGATATACATACAGACAAACAGACAGTCAGTATGATGAAAACAGGGAAGGAAAGGAAGGGGAAAGAATCAGTTTTTCCTGCCACAGGGAACCAGCAGCCATCCTATAGGGAAAGGGACCCTTCCATGACTGGGATGAGGATTTACTTTCAAACACCTGCCAAAACAGAGTTCAACACGGCCTGCGTACGAACGGTCAAATTAGTTGTTATTAAGAGGTTTGGAGGCAAAAGGCAGAGCGTGAGGTGAGGTGGGAGTCTCTGGCGCTGGCTGAAAAAAAAACAAAACAAGAAATGTTACTCCTGAAAAGAAAAACAAAAATGCAAAGTTTATTGCTGTCAGGTGTGAGCGGAGGAGGAGAAATATTAAGAAAGAAAAGGCAAAACAAAAGGAGTGGACCATTTAGAAGTGGGGAAACAGAAATCAGCCCTCTCCCTATCTCTCTCTCTGTTCCTGAGATCAATTAGAGAAATCTAAATCCACACTCCCACTCGCACCATTTCCAGAAACACTCACGAAACTGCTTTTGGCCCTCAATTTATTCTAAAGTACACATTTCTGCCCTGAAAAAAAATCTATGTAGTCTTTCATTTTGCTGTATTATATTGATAAGTCTGGTGAAAATACAGTGACGGAGGAATTGCATTCAAAATAGGAAACTTTGAATGCAGCGGTGCATATTATATGCATGACTATTTTGGACTTAAAAACGCCTTTATATTCGAGGAGAATGCACATCAGTATCTGTTGTACAGACATCCTATAATACAGTGACCAATTAAATAAAAAAAAAAAAAGAAATGTAGAAATGCATGCGTGCATAAAAAAAACTATTATACAAGCATGTGTGCATGACTAAATAAATGAATGCATGCATGCAAGCATAATACAATATACAAATGCAGACATGCATGACTCAATATATGCACAAACAAACAAACTTGTGCTGCAAAATAGCTTTAAGGTATAATTTTACTTCCAAGTATGAAATCT